CTGCTGTAAATGAACATGTCACTTGATTGACAGCTTTTGCATGAATTCTGTTCACCCAAAGGGAGCAGAGGTGCAAGAAGATACAGTCAGTAGACTCACCTCACTCTACATCCACCACAGGTTCCTGTCAAGATTTATCTAAATCATTTTAAGTTTATTTTTCCTGATACAGCTCTCTCATGCATTATGCAATGCTTGTACAGTATAAAAGCAATTATACAAAATAAAGGCAAAAATAGGATAAGCCACCTCTCAATTCATCTGAGCAATACACAAATCTAAAATCCATTATATCACATTCAGATGAGTCCCCCTTTGAAATGACAGGTTTAAATAAAGATTTCAAGTGTAAAAAAAATAAGCTTGTGGTCAAGATGCTTCAGCAAGCCTGTAGAATATGGTTTTAAATACACAAACTTACCAGTTCATTGCTTGTAGATGTACATCTCAGCTTCTCTTCAATCTCCCTCCCTATCTTCTGAACAGTTACCTGAGTCTGTTTAATTGCACACTGGGCTCTGTGAAGCCTGTCAGGAGAAGAGAAGTTAGAGTATAAAGGTTAAATACTAAAGGTTCCCCACATGACTCCTCAAAACCAGCTGCAGGGAATTCAGTTTGTCAGCTTCTGTTTTGAAATAAAACATCAACAAAGGAATCACAACTCGCACAGTTGATACATGAGTATCCAAAGCAAACCAGGAAGTCTCTAAATTCAATCATGAACCAAATGTTCTTTTCATTTGCTAAATTCAATAGATGCCAATAAGACAAAGCTGTAGCTGAGAAAGTAATTACACAGATCTCATGTAATTAATTAAATTCTAGCATGAATAACATTGAGACAGAAACACACAACAGCTACCATGAGCTCTGTTATCACAGGGCCTTGTACTTGGCCTTGTTGAACTTCATGAGTTGGCACTGGCCCTTCTCTCCAGTCTGTCCAGGTCCCTCTGGCTGGATCCCTTCCCTCTAGGGTGTCAACCACACCACACAGCTTGGTGTCATCAGCAAACTTGCTGAGGATACACTCAGTCCCACTGTCCATGCAATTAGCATATTAGAAAAAATGAGAGTTGGTCTGTAGCCACAGACTGTGTCTCTGAAGGCATGCAAACCCAGGCTCACTGCTCCCATTCATAGTGTCACCACTAACAGCTTCTCCTTTTCTAAGGATATTCTTCAGGCAGCCTTGCTGCTGGGATAAGCACTTAACTCAGGTCCCCTCAAAACAACAAAAACCAGGTGAGATAATCTACTTTATGACATTAATGCTTTGCTAGGCAAATATAATGAAAAGACCAAGCCTATTTCAAGTCTTTAATCGCCACCTCTGCTTTGCCAAAATTAAAACTCTCTACCTCTTCACAGGAATGTCTTCAGAGCAAGGCTACAAATCTGCTGTGAGCCAAAGACTGAGGTACTGGAGCACATAGAAGAGGCTACTCAGCTCCTTCCTTTCACATTCTTTAATCTCTTCCAGATTTATGAGCAATTGAAGCATTACTACTTCAAGTTCTTGGCTAACAGCTTTTAATGGTCTGCATGCAGCTAGACCAAGACAACCAGGCTGCATGCTTCAGGTATGAGTAACCACAAAGCATTACTCCTTCTCACACCATCATCCCTCAGCATCCCATCTCAACAGCACACATTACAATTTGGGTCATCAAACCACCTATCCCAGCAAACAAATGCATGGAGAGAAGATTATAAATGGACATCAGGGAACAAGCACTGCCAGTAATATTACATAAGATCATTGTGATTTAGGATTTTTACATGATTCAACTCCAAGTGAATACATTTAAGTCACCAGACACTTTTAGTTCCTTCATACTCTTGCTTCTACACCACTCTGTAGTAGATTTTTGCACTGATTTCTTTAGAGCTCCTCAGACTGCTCCTAGCACCTGCAGCCTAAGAGCTGCTTAGGAGTAGCTCTACCCCACATAAATCATACACCAAGCAGCATGGCTCTGCTGGCTGCTACAGGCTGCTGGGGTGGAAAAAGTCTGCTGAGACCAACAGCACTGGGTGCTGGGTCACCCAAGGGCTCAGCCTCACATCCCTGATGGAGTTCTGAGATCTCCTGGAAACACTTATTTCCAACTGGGAACTACTACTGACACCTCTTACCTTCCCAAATTCATCTGGAGACTAGGTGACATGGATACACAGATCAAAGCCAAGGTTTGCTGACCATCCTGAACCTCATTCAGAGCTCTGCAGGGTATAAGTTTCCTATTTCAACAATTTCCAGCCTGTTCTTTTCCAAAATTCTAGAATTTTCTTTCCAGACATAACAAAGTCTTACCTAAAGCTAAAACCTCTAAGTAAAGCATATTAACTGCATGACATTTCCCTTTCCCTTTCTCTCCCCTTCATCAGACTTTATACAGGAAGAACATTCTTGATTTAGTCTGTTAAGTGATTAAGGAAGAAATCCTATGAGTCCTCATGCCATGTAGGTAGCAAAATTTGACTGCTGAGAAGTGTTTTATTCTGAAGAAGTATTTATGAAACTGAGAAACTGTTAGGAGGGTCATTTGCCATGAGAGTTCCTCATAGTGACACTTGGCTAACAAACTACAAATTTTCTAAAAAAACAGCTTTAATTTTTTCTATTCATGCCCAAGTATAAGTAATAAACATCTACTCAGACTGACCTACCTAACCACTTCTGACTTCTCAAACATACCTTAGGATGCTTCTTCAATGTGGAGAATCTGTACCTAAAGGTATATTCTCAACCTATAAAAACTGCTACGTAGAATAGTTCAACACTCAAGTCTGTTTTTAGTGAGAAATGGTTCTCTTTTTAAGCCAAACATCATCCAGTCTTTTCCTGCAATATAAAAACCCTACAGCTAAACTTGGCTGCCTTGATGCCAAACAGTGCTATTTACACTGAGCCAACCAGTATCAGTAAGTTTCCTTTCTTGCAATCCCAGTATGTTCAGTATTGTTCTGAGAACTTTAAAATGGTAACAGTAAGATCATGACCATGTCCAAAGTTAAACTTTCCAAGATTAAAATTTTAGGGACCTCATGTCACAAAGGCAGCAACTGTCAACAGAAATCTCCTTGCCCCAGCCAAAAAAAGCCCCCACATGGAAATCTTTGCTCATCCAACAACAGAAATACAAACTAAGTCATAAGAACATCAGCATGGAAATTTTGTCCATGACTTCTGCATGCACAAGACAGTCTTTGGTGGAGGCAATGATGATTGCTCTACTGAATGGAGATCAGCAAGTTGAGGCCATAAATCTGAACTGAAATTTATACATAATGAATGGAGAGAAACTTCACTGCTAATTGCCCTCATACTGTTTCCATTTCTAGTCTGAATGCAGGTCCAAGGCTGCAGCCTAAAGTTAGCACAGATTGTGCTTTGAGTACCACCCTCCTTCATTTAGAAGCTGTCAGTGATGAGCCAACTGATGGCATAATCTCTGTTCTATCAGCCAACACAGGATTCATCCTAGATTGCTCCAGTTTTTTATTATTTATTATTAAAATTAGCACTTCCATAGCACTTTAAGAGCTAATGTGGGGCTTCAAGAGGCCACTGGATCTCTACCAAATTTCCTTTGGCAGTCAGGAAATCCAAGGCAGCTCCAGCAGAAAGTCAAGCCTTTCTAAAGAGACAGCTCAGCCAACAGTGTCATCACCCGTGTCTGGAGGCTGTGCTGGTGTCTCTACTGCAGCTCCCAGCCATTGTCAGCCAGCAGCAGAGTTGTATGAACCTGAAGAATGACAGATTTACTGCTGTTGCTTGGGGCCCCCAGGGCTGCTGTGCAATTGTCCAAGGTCAGGTGAGCTCCATGCTGCTGCCTGGGAAAGAACTGGAAAGCAAAGCTAACATGAAAATTGCTGACCACTCAAATACAGTTTGAAGGTGGAGATCTATGAAGCTGTTCTACTTCCATTCTTGTATCACCTGCTTTCTGAAATGGGGGAGACTAAGAAGAAACAAAATCTTCTCCCTTCCTTTAGAAGCTTAAAAGACAGTAGGACACAATAGCATCAGCCATGTATGTCTTGTCATGTTCTTCCCCATGAGGGCAGAAAGGGACTGGAACAGGTTGCCCAGGGAAGCTGTGGCTGCCTCATCCCTGGAGGTGTTGAAGGGCAGGTTGGATGGGGCTTGTGCAGCCTGGGCTGGTGGGAGGTGTCCCTGCTCATAGTAGGGGGGTTAGCACCTGATGATCTTTAAGGTCCCTTCCAACCTTCACCTTTCTATGGTGATGACTCTATGTACTGTGAATTAAGCCCAACAAAAGCTGCAAACCCAATTATCTACAAAAAAGCACCAGGTGAATTTTCAACATGTCTCCATTTCACTTGCTTCATTTCCTCAGTTGCTGAAATATTATTTGGGGTGTTTCTTCAAAGCTGTTCAAGTCTGAAATAAAATTATTTCCTCTTTTGGAACAGCCTAAAGCTACACCAGGGGAGGTTTAGGCTGGACACTGGGAAAAAATATTTCTCTGAAAGGGTTGTCAGACACTGGAATAGGTTGCCCAGGGAGGTGGTTGTGTCACCATCCCTGGATGTGTTTAAGAGTTGTCTAGATGTGGTACCTGAGGATATGGCTTAGGAGTGAACACGGAAGAGTAGGGTTAAAGGTTGGACTTGATGATCTTAAAGGTCTTTTCCAACCTAAATGATACTATGATTTTATTGTATGATTCTATTATGTTCATCCCCTAAAAGTCCCTACTTTCTACCTTGCATGTAAGATTTGTAACAACACCAACCTACAACCACCTGCCCATCAGCCTGTTGTGGGTCCTGACTTGGAGGACAAAAAAAAAAAAAAAAGTTGCCAACTTTTGGAGTTCTTCACCATGACATGATTCTTTTGCAACATCCTTGTCTTGTATGCAAGATCAAGCAGTTTCCCTGACTTTCCACAACTGCACAATGCAGCAATCCCCACATAACTTGACTTTACAAGTGGGGAATGTGCTGTAACATCACAATTTGCTCTTTCAGCTCACAGGATGCTTGAGGGTTCAGCTGAAGCCCTTGCCATTAAGACACGCTGCAGTATCCTGCAACTGAGACATCCCTCTTGGTCATGAATTAAGTCTAGTGATTTACTAGTTTATATAGCAAGTTCATTCCTGGCTGCAATCTTCAAAACCCTGAAAGCTGGAGTGTAGTGACAGTTGTGCCTATTAAGTTAACATATGCTTATATTTACATTAATGAAAGAGTCTCAACTTTATTAGACATTTGATACATGATTTTGTAGGTCTATCCCACACTCCAAATATCTATTTTGCTTCTATCAGACACATCTGGATTTTTCATGTACAGAACTTTAAGCCATAAATACATCAACTGATTACTGCAGTCACATCATACAGCTACTTCTCATAAGAGAAATAACCGCCTATGGTCTTACATGCCAGAACAACCTTGGTTTACAATAAGGCTAAATTTAAACTGAGAATTACTATCAGGGATTTAGAACACAGAACAGAACACTTCTGGCAAGAAGTGAAATGCAGGA